CTCGACGAATCAACGGTGGAGAAAGAAAAACCAACACATAGAGGAGAGGGAGAAATAAGACTGAAGAGGATAGGAGGAACCACAACCACGATGGAGGAGATCACCAAATCAGAGAGATTGAGTCCGGGAAAGAAGATCAAAAGAGAAGAAAAAGAAGAACAATTTAGATTTCAGATCTAATTCTAGATTTAGGTACAACGAGTTTTTGTTTTTGCTTTTTTACACACAAAAAATGACATCTTTTTGTGTGTAATTTTTTTTTAAAATGCAACAACTCCTTCTAATCCCTTTGACCCAGAAGTCGCGGGTTAACCGGATGATCTTTAAGAGTCAGAAAGATTAACATATATGTAAAATTTAACTGCTAACTCTAATCCTTACAGAAAAGGAATCAATAATCCGACGAAGTTAACAGAGCAAAGCGAGATTTTAAAACAATGGGTAGTACTCACCATTATTTTCAATGCTGCCATCAATAACTTCATAAAAGCAAATGCTGACCTGTAAAAGCCTTGACCAAATATACTTGTTAAAAATCTCCCAAATGTATGAAATTATTTAACCTGAGAAAAATATGTGTCATTTTAAAAGATGTAAAGTTGTATCATTTTAAGTGAGAGAGTGGACAAAAAAAGTAAAAGTATAGGTCCCACCTCTTTGTGAAAATGAAATGAATACAAGTTGTATCATTTAAAAGGACAAACATTTTTTCCATATAATATTACAGAAAAATATTTCTGCAGTTACTGCAGATAAGTTTCCTACATTTACTCCAAAACGACGTGGTTTTGGGATTGAAATATTAAAAAATTATAATTATAAAAACTAGAATATCCCTGAAATAAATTAAATTTACAAAAATAACATGATTTCCATCCTAAAACGATGTCGTATTGAGCTTACTACTGCAGAAAAAACGGACTCATAATATTAAAGTTAATTTGTCAATTCATAGTATTAACTATCTTAAAAGGGATATAGTTTTCTTATGTTGTAGGAAAAGAATTACCTCATGTTGTAGAAATAAAGGTATAAGTGGGACCCACATGTAAGAGGAGAGAGAAAAAAAAAGTGGTGGGACCCAACTCCTTTTTGTGTGTGTAGGAGAGATGTTTATCTCATGTAAAATGAGATAAACATAACCCATCTTAAAAAGGTAATTGAGATCATCGAGTAATGACAAAAGCTATAACGTGAGCCTTTTCGCTTAAATACGGTTAAAACACCTTATTTTTTTAAATGATTCCTATAGAAAAAAGAGGACTATTCTAACAATCTTTTTTTTCTAGTTGCTTCGTTCTCTTTTTCTATTTGAGAGAATCTTTAGAAAATAAAAAAAATTTGTGTCGGGCTAAAATATTTCAATGTTTCTAGTAAACTCAAAGAATCGCTTTATAACTATTTTGCTTCAACCTCTACTAAAAGAAAAATAAAATGGTTAATACGATCATAAAAGAAATTTAGATAGACCTTTCTTTCTCTTCGTCTCAGGTCAATAGATCTTCTCAATTGAAAGATTTCCTATATCAATAATACACATTTCAGTTGACCGAACCTAATTCGAACTGTTTTGTTCCCAAACAAAGAGATCCAAGGGGTTTGTCCTAATCAGATCTTGTACTAAATATATAAATTTATATGTATAAACATTGACATTAATAATGTGTCTCTCTACACACACATTATTAATTTATATATTTAGACCTAATTAATACAAGATTGATTGAATTTTAATAATTTCTGAACTGTAAAGCAAGTTTAAGTGAAGAAAATGAATTTAGTAAGCCAACTTAAATTAGACATAGCAGGGTTATAATTTGATTTATTGCCAACCCTAGTCTTTAGCAACCAAGAATCACATAGACATCTCTAAAAAAAAGTGAAACTTGGGCTGAATCCGATGGTGAATTCGCCAAAACAGTTCAGGATTACAGTGCTCGGTTTGCATTGATTGGTTCGACTGTGAACTAACTTTCCTAATTGGTTCCTATTAAAAATTGAGATGAACAAAAACCTTATGATATTGATCAAACTAAAAAAAAAATATCAGTTTGGAAGAATTAAGCCGGTCTAACTTGATTAACTATATTAGCATTTCTATTATTCAATAATTTTGTAATTTATATAAATATATATATATATATATATATATATATATATATATATATATTTAACTATAAATAAATAAATAAACAAATTGCCCTGTTTTATTTTTTTAGTAAATACCATTTTCAGTCCTCAGCAAATTTTACGATACCCGCTTTAGTTTCTAGCAAATAAAAAGGTTATTCGTGATATCTAAAAAATTCAAAGTGGACCTATTTTAGTTCTTCATTACTCCAAAAAGACCCACATTAGTCTCTCAAAATGATTAAAATAGATCCATTTTGAATTTTTTAGAGATCACGAATAATCTTTTTATTTGTTAGAGACTAAAGCGGGTATCATGAAATTTGATGAGAACCAAAAACAATATTTACTCTTTATTTTTCTAGTTCATTGCTGGTTCAAGCAGTTTATCGGTGAACTGGTAGACTCATTAATTTAATGTTTTCTTCCATTTTTTAAACACTGCTCCATACTAGGATAATTGGTCCGTACTAACCATTCATCACGATCACGCTTAGTTTCAAGACCAAAATTCTGATGCCGTACGTCAAATCATCCATGAGAGTGACGTGTCTAAGCTGAGTCAGCAAGATATGAATTGTCTTCACTCTTGTAAGGCACCCTAATGGAACAGGTGGACTAATAGGGAACAAAGCCTTGTGCACCTTGTTGGAGACTCTTAAAAAGGGAGCTTGTACTTGCTTGAAATGCAAGAGGAGGGGTCCGTGTGTCCAAATAGTAAACCTTCCGAAAATGTACCAGATGCCAAATGATGGTGAAAAGAAGTGTATCTTCAGTTATAAGCTACTCTTTAGTGAAAGAGAAAATGGATACCAAGAGTGGCTTCTTTCTTTGTTTCTTTTTTCAGCAGTTAAAGTGTGAGATGCACAGTTGATTGGTGGAGTGTTTTCTTCTTCTTCTATAAGGGATACAAGGTTTGAAAGGGACAGAGTACCAGCAACAAATGTGCATTTCATGATTTGCCTGCAAGGGAATGTAAAATTGTCCCAAAACATGTAAAGCGACATTGCAAAATCTTCACCCTTGTTTAAGCAAAGGCAATAGAGAGGTTCCTCTTTATCTCTCTTACCCTCCTCCACTTATTATTTGCCTCCAGTTTGTTGCACCTGCATGAGCCACACCCACTTCACCAAATGGGGTGGCTGCAATCCCTCCTGATCTCTCCACTGAAGAAGCTTTGGATTCGGTTGCATTCCACTCAAAAGAAGAGTACTTCCATTACACTTTTCATAGTTGCATTATCAATGTTTTCTCTTACGCATGCTAGTGTTCACAGAAATGCTTGTTTCCTCTTCTTCACATTGTTTTTAGTACTTCTGCTCTTGAAACAGTCAATCACATGCAATACAGTTCCCTCCTTCACCTGAATCCCAATGAGATTTCCTAGAAATGAAGTGAAAGTATGCAATTCCATGCATTCCTTTTTGCATTGCCATTTGAATTCTGGGAAACGTGTATTTCACTCTCTCAACTTTTCCCTTCATACCATCATCCCATTAGGCGCTTATCATTGTTTACTTCTTTCTTCTCGTTCACTCATAATTTTTCACAATTTTGCTTAAACGTTTCAGGAAGAGGGATATACATTCTGTATGAAGATGTCAAATCTTGCCCCTATGAAGACGTGCACGTCCTCTGGTCAATACTAGTGGAATCACATTCACCTTCTTTGCCATCGAAAAAATGAAGGCTAAGCACAAAACAGAACTGAGAAGAGGCTCGCAATGTACATAAAATATTTATCATGTCAATACACAGTGTTTTATTTTCTTTTCCTTTCTTCCCTTTATTTTTTCCTTTTAACTTTTGTAGCATCCACATAGAATGATTCTCTTCCTTTAATTTTTGTTTTTTTCCCCCTTGTAAAGCATCCACTGAGAGCATATTTAAAACCCATCTTTTTTTCCCCTCAAATGCTTTCAATCTATGCATAAACTTTCAGAACCTGTAGGGGGCCCGGCCCGGCCCGGCCCAGCATGAGTAATATTATAAAGAAGTCATTAATTGGGTTTTTTTATTGGTAAGCTGTCGATTTTAAGCAGTTGAAATGGTCGTTTGTTCCTCTATTTTCCTTATTGAATTTGACGTGTGAAAGCTACTATGAATTGCTAGCACAACCTGCATATTAAATATGTATTCTGCAAGAGAAATGATGTTTACACAAACTTGTGTCGAGTACAATCTCAAGTGTTCTTTTTTAAAAATAAATAAATAAATATTTTGGGAGGTGTTTATGTGATCTTGTCATGTAATTACTCATTGAACTATAAATTGTAATAAGTTAAAATTTAGTCAGCAGTAATGAGCTTTATAGCATTTTTTTTTCTAAACAGAAACTTATTCTCTGTAATAGGAGAATGAAAAAAAAGACCGTATTACCACCACGTGCTGAAAATACATGAGACTAAGCAAAAACCCTTATATATTGTTTCCAAAAAACCTAATATTATTTTTTTTAGGGGGGGCGAGTCCCGCGTAAGTAGATTACCCTGTTCTATAAACAAAAGCATCCGTCCATTTAATTCATAGTGGGGTCAAATTTGATTTTTGAAATTTGTTTCACAACAAACCTACTGGGCACCTGTTAGGCTGTAACTAGTATTACATTTTAAGCAAGAATGTTTATACTCCCACATGCCTATGCAGAAGAAAGCAAAGTCATCAACGAGGTGAACTATCATTTATATATTTTTTCGAAATTCCCATAATTATTCAAGATTTGCAAATTTAGTTCACAAAAATAATATAGTACGGCACCATAACCGGCAAATCTTCAGTGATTGTGGTTTTGGGCAAGTCCTAGTCAGCAGAAAAGATGTGCACAAGAGAAGACATCTATGTAAATATAAAAGGCAATTCGAATTTCCATCAGATTGATATAAAGGAAATTTTTATTCATTCATGCAACAAGCTGTGTAATTCATGTCAATAAAGACAAAATAACAAGAATTGCTAACATATCAATACAAAAGCGAGCGATATGTTATTACTTATTAGGCTTTCTCATTCAATCACATAACAAACTGTGTTGAAATGTGTTTGTTGCCCCATGACAATAATGGATCAATGACATGCATATCGGATCAACCAGATTGCTTCAGATCTAAATAATTGATTTTGCAACAGGTTGAGTTGAAATCACTTCCAGTAATCTGCAGATAAAAAGCATTCACAAGTCACAACCCCTGAAAAAAAGAGGGCAACGAGGTGATGCGATGTTATGATTACATGACATACGTGGCTAAACTGGGAGTCACTAAAGGCAATTAATAAGAAGTACATAGGGTACTAATATTTTATGACTATGTACTGTGAGCCTGATATGTATGAGCAGAACGCACCCTAATGTAAAAGCTTGTTAACGCAGGCATAATAAGTATTAGAACATTTCCCCTCCCTGTTTAATGGTCAACTTGCAGCTTTCAATAAAACATTTGAAGCCACTCCCAACACCCCACAAAAAATAAATTAAAAAACTGATGAAGTATCAATACCCTGTTTATTCGTGTATTTTTCTAATTTCACATAATTGTTGCATTTTTATAAAAGAAAACTAAATGACATTTTCTTGTCATGTTTCTAATCCCATTTTTTAATACTTGCATACCCATTTCATCGATAATATTTTTATTATTTTGGCGCAACTTTACAAATTTGGTTCCACTCATGCCTCATGGACATTGGATGCAGCAGGACTCAGATATGTTGTAATATTGGCAAAGAAGATAATCTCTAATAAGAAAAAGTATGCGGGTTTCTATCTCGAGGTCATATCCCAATAGATGAATGTTCAACTTACACATTGACCCATTAGATTTTATTCCTGAGTTTGCCCATGGATAAGAAACGTTGCCATTGATCATGCAAATTTAGGGTCAATACCCTTAGAAATGACCGTGAAAAATTTAGGGGTGAGCTCTATATAAAAACTTTTTATGAAAAACCGTTTCGCAAATTGTTTAACTCCTAGTAGTAATTGTTTTGGCATGGAATGACATAAAACCTATGAGTCTATGAATGCCCCTCAAGAACATAGGCATTGTATGGAATGAGGAATAAGGTCCACAATTCATATGATATCAAGCAAATGCTGACTTAAAAAAATGTTACTGACACCTTCCATAGGCTCTGAAATGTCATTTGTAAAGTTTGCCTAAATTTTCCATTCATATCAGAAGAATCATCTACATTCTTAACTAGCAAGGATGCAAAAAATGTAAATGCAACTATTGCTATCAATATATTCCAATCAAAGCGGTCATATAAACTACAAATACATGATATGTCTTACAGCATTACAAAACAGATGAAGAGGGTAATTCAGGGACACTTTGAAGGCAATCCTTAAATTGGCTCTGAAATGACACTTGTAGTGATGTCATTTAAACACATATGAACTATGTAGCACCGACACGCAACAAGACACCGACATTCCAACACATCAATTCCAAAAAAAATTAGATTTCGACACGTCGGGATACGTTTTAAGATTAAATAATATTTTTAATATATATAGTATATATTACATTTTATATTCGATAACTTAACTAACAAATATATGTTTTAATTTATGGAGCATTTTCATCTTGGATCCTTTCATGTGGAAAAGTGATCATGTGGTCATGTTATTTGATTACAACTACTAATTTAAAAATTATACATTTTTCTCTCTTATCTCATCATCAATGAGTGGTTGTGATCAAATAACAATGACCACTTTTCCACATAAGAGGATCCAAATCCCTTTTTTAAGCTTTTATTAAATGTATTTTAATTTTTTCACAATTATAATTTTATTAATGTATTTTAATTTTTAAAAATTGAAACTTTATTACAAAAATACCCTGTGACTGTGTCGGACACAGTCAAATTTACGTGTCGGATTGGTCAACGTGTTAAAAATGTTGACCACGTGTCGGAGTGTCCAACACTGACTCTCCAGGTTTTTTGAAGTGTTCGTGCTTCGTAGCATATGAAAGCTTGCCTAGATCTTCCATTCATATCAGAAGAATCATCTACATTCTTAACTAGCAAGGGTGCAAAATATGTAAACGCAACTATTGCTATCAATATATTGTAATCAAAGCGGTCATATAAACTACAAATACATGCTATGTCTTACAGCATTATAAAGCAGATGAAGAGGGGAATTCAGGGACACTTTGTAGCCAATCCTTAAAATAGACCTGACAATCTACCTCCGCATGAGAGAGAGCAGCAAGAGGAGTAACAGTAATCTAAAAAAAATGAGATTGCTCAGTATGTTAGCTACAATTTGTGTATTCAATTAATTATTTTATATCTATATAAACTCACATATCCTTCCTGCAAAGATCTGTGATCCGTATCATCATGATCATCAAGTAGGGAACCTCTTACCTACAAAAGTTAAAGAAAATCATTTTTGTTGGGAAAAAGCGGAGGAGTGGAGGATTATGAAATGTCCATCCAAGTAAAGATTGTTTAGGGTTCCATATAACTTCACATCTACTTCAGAAGTTAACGAAACTGAATACTTACAGTCTCCACTCTCCTTTGTTTAAAATAAGTCCAATCATAGCATACTAAAGCACAAGACTAAGCTCTGTAGAACTTATAACAGTGGGAGGAGTTCATCTAAAGGTAATGGATGATAATATACATACAAATGAAATATCAAGAGTTTCAATTAAATAAAAAGATAGAAAAAGGAAATGAACCCACCTCTCTCATAAATAAAAGATGTTCTGGTGATAAAGATGATGTGTCAAAGTTTTTAGGCGTTTCCCCATCTATATTGGTCATATCAGATGACATTTTTTGTCCTTCTGTCTCAGAGGTGACTTGCCTCCATCCCATCTTGACGATACTTTTACCCTGCTTAGTAAGCTTGTAACCCTTTTTTAGAGGCACAGAAGACAACCAGGAAATTAGTTATAAGTGATTGCCCGACAAGCCATATATTCTTGCAGAAAAAGTCAGTGTAACAAGGGCAGCCCAGTGAGAAAGGCTTCCAACATTGTGGGGGTTTTTGGGGAAGGTCAGATGTGCACACCATATATGTAAAGTGGCTGTTCCGTGATTAGTCACCCTTGATAGTATATATTCTTGTCATGACATAAGGGAAGTATTTTTGGTTTTTACATGCAGGATAACACCATAGTTATGCAAAATAATAAATTCCACGAATCATAATAGCACATAAGACTACATTTTTCTTCTTAACAAGGAGTCTTTCATAGTCACTAGATAAGAGTAGTAATTATGAAATTGCCTCAAGGGGTATAACTATGACAGGTTCTTCGGGGCAAGTTATCATTCTAGCAGACAACAACCAAGATTTTACTAGACAGGAATTCTGAACTGACCAGAAAACAATGAGAATACTTGGAACAATATGTGAAAGAATATGTTCCTCGTTTTAAATACAGCAGGACCTTTTAATAGGAATAATAAAACTTCACTAGCAAGTAATCAAATCTTCTAGGACTTGCCTAATCCATACTGTATCCTAAAGGGAATCAAATTCTGCAATAATTACTGTAAATTTACCTAAAGTAACAATAAAATATTTAAAAAATAATTCTTGAGAAAAAAATACAAAATCATAGAAAACCAACATATAATTTTAATTTGATATATCATGTTCTTTTTATCATAGCATGAATCTATTGGATATATCATATTAATCATTTGTCACAAGCTAAACATGCAAATTGAAAAAATAATTACAATTACCTTATGGTTAGCAGCATTGGTTGGCACATCTATATTCAAAAAACATTTTTGAGGGTAGCTCTGATTCTTTATCTCAACCAGCACAGCACTTATGATAGGTATGCATGCTTGTGCAGCAAGGGTGAAGTCATGTAGGCTACTCTTTCCTTTAATCCTAGAGATAAAGTAACCTCCAAATGGTCAAACAGGAAAATGAAAAGATGTTGCTATAGTAGGATATCGATGAAAGATTATTGGAATAGCTTCTAATGCTGACGAGCCATATTACTCTTAGATATTCATTAAGTTACTGGTTTAAATTATAAACTAACAAAATAAACTAAAAATTCTATTCAGAACAAATATTCAAGATAAATCCGGAAATATAGCCACAGAACCACGTTGCATAAATACCAGTCATAAGAAATGGAGATAGAAGGTATATCATTGAAGAAGGCCTCTCGAGCTCCACCTACAGTGCCTGAGTAAACACTGCAAAGGAACCTACTCAGTACAGCTATGGGCAAAAATTTCCTCACAAATAACTACAGAAGCAGCTATTAGAGTATAAGTAGAATAGATCTATTCTACTTATACTCTAATATTCTACTTATACTCTAATAGCAGCTATAGAGGAGAGAAAAATTGTGTAAATCATAACTGGATGCACCTCAAATTTCAAGGAAATGTGATGAACCAAAAAAACTTTTAGTAAACATGAATGGAAAATTATCCCCTTACAGCAATGCTTCAACCAAGCAATGTAACGATTACAGACAATTTTCCCTAATTACAGAAGTCTAAACAGAAACGATGACAAAGCAAATGCAACAGTGACCAAAATGAAAAAGAGAGAAATACAAAAAAACAGCAACCCAGCTCCCCCTACACGAACATAACCCAATTCCTGTAGAGTTCCCAAATACTCCCAATACTTCTTACTTCTTAGATATCCCCCCTCCTTTATGCCTTCCTTCCCCAATATAACAAATCCAAGCTGCTATCCCACTAACTCCAAAATCATGCTCACCATTCAAAGCCCACCAGCTGTCCCCGTCTCCAACCACTTCCTTTTCTCTCTCCTTAACCACCCCCAATTCTGTTATTACATCATCATTATCTCTTCATAGCTTACAATGATAATTGTCTACTGTCATTTGGAGTCAATGGAAAAGTTTTCAATAGGTATACTCCAATTAAATGTCCTTCTATTACATCATTTTCTATCAAATCCAGGTTTCTTTACCAAGCATGAGATAGATTTTAAGCACCATAGAAATTATTTCTTCCATTGAAATTAAAATAATTTCAATGGAAAAAATGGTTTTATGGTTGAGTTACATCGATATCTTAAAATCAAATTGATATAGACCACTCACTCATACATAACGATTTCAGCCATGAAAGAAAAGATTAATAAAGATCATTTTCATAAGGACGATGCCAATTTTGACATGAATAACAACTTACTTACTCTTAGCAAAGGAAGAGGGACTCAGATCCTGCCCCCTCCTTCACTGTCTCTCAGAAAACATGCATTTATTTCAAATTTATAAAAGGATTAATTTGCAGTTCAGAAGTTTAAAGTTGTTAGGATAACTAAAGGTGAGGACATGAAGAACAAAAATAAAAAATGCTACGTACATGTGATAACCACAATTGCTACCCTTGTTTATGCCACTGATTACCTGCACAAATGGATATAGCGCACATCAACAACCAGCTGGATTATTTTTTTGGATTTTACTTTTGTAAGCCATAATCCCAATGTCACTAGAAGTTTTATAAACTCCATTCAACGTTATTCTAAAAACCAATTCCCATGTAACCCCAACTTGCGAGGATAGGTATAAGGGAAATTCTCGGATGCAACCTTATCCTTGCATTTTTGCAAAAAAAAACTATTTCTCGGATTTGAACATGTGACCTCTCAAGGTTTCTCTAAATAGATAAAAAAAAGATTTTACAGAATAATAATAATAATAATAATAATAATAATAATAATAATAAAGAAAGATGATAGCAGAATAGCAGATCAGGTAAAAGAAGCCTGCTCCAGCAATCTACCTACTTAAGAATAACAACAACAACAACAACAATAAAAGTCGTTTTCCACTAGGTTAGGTCAGCTATATCGATCAAATGATGCCATTATGTTTTGTCAAAAACCTTCAAGTTTTTGTATAGTCCATTTAGAGCAAGGTCTCTCTTCAATCGTTGGAAAATAAGCTGAAGGCATAGCAAGGAAAAAATCTGATAACTTATATAACAAAAATAAAATTCAAATGCCAGAGGTACCAGATCAGCTATTGTAGGAAAGAGTGCTTTGGAAATCCCCAGAGAAGTACAATCAGCCGGAGTCCCTGCAAAGAATTTGCATGTTGACACTATGTAAGACAAGAAGATAATATATGCACATAAAAGTAATTTAAGAGAAATCATCAAGTATTCAAATGCTAAAGCAATCACTGTTTTGTAATGTGAAATATCGGGAAAAAAAAATTCAGCATTTCAAAAGAGAACATAAAAATAAAAAAAATAAAAAAATAAAAAAATAGGAAAAGCGATAAAAAAAAACTGTTAAGAGAATGAAAATACATGTGGATCTGTTACGAAATGAAAGAAAACAAAAAATTAACAAGGAATGAAAAAAAATTGTCGAAGGACTAACAAAGATTAACAGTGAGCATTCAAAAACACTTGTCTGCTCCAAAAGGATTATGCATAGAACTAATAAAAGGAAACAAAGAGAGAGCAGCCTGCAAATGTGGTTGTTCATTGGTATGAAGATGAAGAGAAACAAACCAGAAACCGCGAAGGCGGTGGTTCCATCAATGTTGACTTGCTTGGCAGCTACCGGGTGGAGCCAAGTGATGCTGTGACTAACAGCTGACTTCTCACTGCAAATGATCCAATTAAATCCACTGAACAAACCAAATAAATTAATGGAAATTTCATGGTCAAAGAAGGGGGTAGGGTACCTATCAGGAGCGCAGACTTGAACATTGAAAAGATTGGCGTTGACGAGCGATTGAACCAAAGCTCTCAAACCAGGAGCATCGATTCCATCGTCGTTCGTGATCAGAATGGTCGCGCGCTTGCGCTCTTCCATCTCAGAATAAACAAACAAACAAAAAAATTATTGGGAACTCAACTCCAAGATGACCGGAATTTTTTGTTAGGGTATAGTGTTTTTTTTTTTTAACGAACTTAAACCAAAACGACAGTTTTACTTTTTAGGTTGAAAAAAAAAAAAAAAAAATTGACCGATGCTACGTGCTATGCTTCAGAATCACCTATGTTACTGTGATTTTTTTGTATCACATATGCCTCTGTGATTTGCAAAAAGGTATGTTTTTTATTACATATTTCCCTGTGGTTTTTTATTTTTTACAAAGCACAGGGACATATGTGATAAAAAAAATCACGGGGGCATTGGTGAACTTTTTCCAAAAAAAAAAAAATTGTAGCGTTTTGAAATTTTTTTTTTTTTTAATTCCAAAGCAATCAATTTCAAATTATATAAATATCTTTCATATATCATCATCGTTATTATTTGTCAAGTTCTCTCTTCTTTTTTTTGGAGAAATAATTATTATTTTTATTTTTTTTAGTAGATAATAAGGGCACAGCCCAAAACAAAAAAAAAAACAAAACAACTAAAGTAAACCTAGTCTATCAGACTCCACCAGCAACTATAAGCTGTCTGGAACTGATAAAAACAATTCTAAATCTTGGTTCCTTTTGAAAGCAAAGGAAGCCCTCCAATCAGCATAACAATTTGAATCTCTGCCACCATGATTAAATTTCAGACTCCAACTATTATGGCTCCAGCTCTGCATTTCGTGAACAAGGCCTTGAAGGGAATTGTTTTTAATCTGTCCTGTAACAAGTTGAACAGCTATACTAGAATCACTTTCAACCTCAACCTGCGTAGCCTTCATCCGCCAAGCTACCTCCAGGCCTTTAATAATAGCCCAACACTCAGCTGTTAGAGAGGAACAAACACCAATCTGGTAGGTGAATCCTATAATCCAATTACCCTTCTCATCTCTAATCAAACCACCACAAGCAACACTGTTGGAATGAAGACACACTGCAACATCCACATTCAACTTCCACCACCCTATCTGAAGAGGTTTCCAAAATGGGTTGTGTGTCACACGAGTAGGCTTTCCTCTAGTATTTAAAAGGAACACCGATTTTATCTGAGAAATATACAAAGAAATCACCATACCTGGATTAGACAGACGGACAAAATCATTATCATGAATAGAGTTATTCCTCCACTTCCAGAGAAACCAGCAAGAAACCATAAATATGTCTCTCCAGTCAAGCGCTTGAACATGATACCATTTCCTTTCCAGATTACTCCTAATCCACTGTTGTAGTGATGAGGAGTAAAACTCATTAGTGTCCCCATGCCCCAACCAATCTGTCCAGAGATTTTTAGCGTGTAAACAATCACGCATAACATGTAAAACATCTTCCACTTTATTAGAGCAATTTGAACAGAAGGGAGCCCCACCCCACTTCGAGATAAGTTCATTTGTAGGCAAACACTCATGCACCAGTAACCACATGAGTTGGTTCATTTATTCCATGAATTTTGTTTGTGAACACAACCCATTTGATGTGTGCTCTTAGAATTTGTAAAATTTTAGGTTCTATACAGAGTCATCATCCACATACAAAGTTTCATCGTCTTCCTTGCTCAAACCAAGCAATGCATTGCCATGGGGTATGAACAGATTTGTTGAAACATTTAGAATTGAGGGATCTAAGGTATTCATGGAGGATCATGATGCATGGCGAAAAATGATACTTGACCCATGTAGTGAGATTGTGTTGAAATGGAATCATGTCTTCATTATTTCATGCTTGGTGCTCTTTTTGTATATCCTTTGTACTATTACTTGCCCAGTGAGAAAGGAAATGTTAGGTCTTCATGCGTGAGGACTGACACAAATTTAAGGATTGTTGTGACCTTTCTTCACACTATTGCATCTATCTTTTATCTATTGCATCTATCTTTTATCTATTGCATCTGTTAATTAAGTTCAGGACAACTTATGTGGCACCAAACTCACGAGTATTTGGCAGGGGTGAACTTGTCATGGACCCTAAGAAAATTACAACAAGATACATTAAATCTGATTTCTTCAATGATTTGATTGCCACACTACCTTTACCACAAGTAGGGGCGAAACTGGGCCGGGCCAGCCTACAGGGGCCTACGGCTCGGCCTATGTCAGGCAAGTCCTGATCTAATATATTTCGTAAAATAGGTCAGATTTGAGCTTTGAAAAAGCTTGTTTACTAAAAAGGCCGGAGGCTCACTTTCACAAGGCCTGGCCTATAAGCCTACAGGCCGGCTTATATTATACAATTTATTTTAAATAAAATAAAATAAGTATGTCTTGAAGAAAAAAGAAAAGATATAAATTTAATCAATTTCAATTATTTATAACTTAATTATATTTGATTATTTTTTAATAGAAATCTGAATTTATTTCTTATGTAGGAGGAACTAACATCTCAGCATGTTAGATTGTGTATATGAATATATTAAAAGATTTTTGGGAGAGATTATACTTACTACAAGCATCATGATGTGTTTGTTGGATTCATGTAGTTATTTTAATTTACGTAGTATGGATTTGTTTGTTGGATATGATGAAATACATGTTATTTAGTTTGAACATTGAGTGACTTGAATGCAGATTATTTGAGTTTTGTTGTGATTCATGATTTTGTTTGAACGTTGAAATTATGATTTTTGATTTAGCAACAGAATTTGATTATTTTGTAAAGTTGATTCATGGTTCTACTTGGAAATTAAAACTTAACAGGCCAACGGGCTAGGCCAAGCCATTTGTTTTTTTTATAAATGGGCCTAGCTAGGCTAACAGTTAGACTCGTATTAGGCTTGGGCCAGGCCAATTTGAAAAAAAATTATGTAGGCTTGGGCTTTTCGAGGCAAAGCTTGGCCCAGCTCAGTCCACTTTCACCCCTAACCACAAGTATGTTGTTCTATCCGCCATCATTTGGTCTTTTTATGACGTATAAATCTACAACAAATTTGTCTACCACTTGGTTCTGATTTATGTGAAAAAAAATGGAGATAAAAATGTTTAGCAAAAAAAGTATCTTAATGAGTGAATCAAATACATGATAGGATAGTATAATCCTATCAAATTATTAATTTAATACACTTCAAACACATGATATGATATAAACTTATCAGTCTCATATCTTTATTAAACTCTCTTATCATATCCGTTCTTATTTTATCATGTCTATCAACGGACCTTAAATCATAAATGATTTCATAAATGAGTTTATAAGAAAGAAATTGATTTTATCTCAATTACAAAAACATCCAACACCCTTTAGATTTAAAAAACTAATATCGCCAATGTAATCGAGGAAGAAATTAATATCGCATTTATTGACACTTACATTGAATTTTATATTCTTATAAAATTAAAAATGGATGACAATTTTTTTTTAAGGTACAAAGTTGTGATTATTATTTTACTTGTAAATTTTAAAGAGTCTATCTTTACATCTCAAATATATTGGGAAATATTTAATATGCTCCAGGACCACCTAATGTTTTGGTGCTCCTTCTCACAACATTAATTTTTTCTTTCCCATTTTACCCCTATTATTTTTTTTCTTTTCCAATTTTACTCTTATATTTATACTAAGGGACCACCTAAAAAATAGTGGTCCCACGCCACGATAAGTTCTCTCGATATATAGCATAGAAGCCTATCTAGTTAAATGAGGAATAGTTTCAGAATGAAAGAAATCAAAAGTAAATATATGACTAGAATGGAAGGATTTTGCAAAGACCCAATCTTTGTTAGGACTTTAGATACTAGGTATATTTGAATTCTGTTTTCAAAAACAATTTTTTTATTTTCAGAAAAAAAAATGTTTGATAAGCCTGTTTTCTAAAATTTGTTCTAAAAGTTATAATTATTTTTAAATTTTTAGAATCAAATTTAAAAAACATATCAGAATTATTTTTGTTTTGTATTTTAATTTTTAACTTTAAAAAAAATAAAAAAATATCTATTTCATTAATTATTCTATAAAATAGTTTTAAGAACAAGAAAACAAAACACAATTAAACAAATCCTTAAAAACTTTATCGGCAAATAAATCAAAACTTTTTGCTGATATAAGTAAAAAAACCACAAGAGAATGGAATGTTTATAAAGATTGGAAGATTTTATATTAATTATGGTACTGTCTGATAAATCTTAAAAATTTTAAAGTTCAGCAAAATCAATTAAAATATTGTTTAATGGAATGTTATAAAGGCTTATGTTAATTGTGATTGATTTGAGTTGGTGCAACTAAAACTATTAAATAATGTTGATACGTTCCTTTCTTGTTAGTTTATATGTTCCTTTTTAGATTATATGTTCTTCCTTTCTTCTTCATCTTTTTTTTTTTTAAAAATATATGTTCTTCCTTTCGGTTGTAAATTTGTGCGTTCAAAGTTCAAACCTTTAATTTGGTAGTAAATAGATATCTTTTCAATGTTGAATGGATGAAAATAATTAACGTAAATGATAAAAATAAATAAAAAGTAATATTGTAAAATAATATTGTTTTCTCCTATTTTGAAAAAGTTGAATATTTTTTGTTATTAATAATCTAAATATTTTTTTAGATGTTGGTGACAAATGTGTTTAGGCCATGAAATCATGATTAAAGAGTGAAAAAAAAATATAGAAAAAAAATTGCTTAACAAATGCACTTAATACATTAGGAATCAAAAGTGGAAAATATGAAATGAAAAGCGAAGTATTTAACCATTCTCTGTTAAATCCCGGTTAGCCACAATAAGGGCGAGGGAAAGAGACAGTTTTAATACATTAGAAATTTTTTTTTCTAGGATTTGGATGAGAATGTTTTCCCTTTATGGTGTACAGCGTAAAGATTTTTACCACTCACCCCAAAATATTTCGCCTTAGAATCGAACATGTAACCTTTCAGTCACAAAGAGTCCGCTTCTTGCATATAGTCCACTAAAAATTTACAAGTGCTAACTTATCAACAAAATTCTAAAGGAAAATAGAGCATTTAAAATAAATGTTTTACAATTGAAGTGAAGGGCCGATTCAACTGAGCATCGGTTGTGTAAAAGGTT